TCAATAAATTATTGCAAAGTGAAGTTTTTATTAACTAATACTTTCCACAAAGTTTTGTCAATACTTAAAAGATATGAAAAATTTAAATAAACAAATACTAATCATTAAAAATTACTACACGGTCAAGGTCAGTCAGTCATATCGTGCAAATAATCACGGCACACAAAATCACGGCGTCAGTGCCTGGAAGGGTACACATTAACTTAAAAAGACTCAAATAATTTTGCTAGGGTATAGGGTTAAACTTTTTTGTTCGGGGTTCACCTTTTTTTACACAGAATCTTTATTTTTTTCTTCTTTGATGGTCTGGCGGGAAGATATAATCTCGGTTTCCTCTTTATATTTGCCACAGCGCTGAGATTAAGAAATTTAAAACTGAGATTCTCACCGACAAAAAAACATTTAGTTAATGGGAATTATTTGTTAATAATTATCATGAAAGATGCAGGTTTGGCATTTGATAAACTTTCTTTTTTATTATTAGTTATGTTTCCATTGCTATTCCTTGTTATTTATAACCAAGAATAAGATGGAAATTATCAGTCTACTGCCCATCAAAATATTTCAACTCCGGCAAACATTTTAGCCTCTATCCAACTCCGATTATAGCAAATTTACAGACAAAAAGCAGCTTAATATATGATATTATAACGTATAATTAATCAGAGCATATAATACTTTGTATAATAAGAATGAGTTGACATACAATATTGATTGACTGGTTAGTAGGAGTTAGACAACTAGTTAAGCTCTAGGGAGTAAGGTCTCCTGGTATATAATAGGCGAACAGACGAGTCAAGTTGATAGAGTTATCTTAGTTAAAAAAATACATTTAATTACAATTAAAATAATAAAATATTATTAACAACAATAGGTGAGTCGTTTGAAGTTCGATTTTGAATATAAACTTTATGACCTTTTAAACACTAACTAAAACTCAAAACACGTAAGTCGCCAATTAAAGTCATCTTTCATTATTTTATTTACATAAACAATATCAAGTTATTTAACGTTTAGCGAGCGAGTTTGCAGAAACAGAGAGAAGTTCCCCAGGAACCGTTGTTCGTTTAGTAACCATCGTGGAAGGTGAAGAGTGAACAGTAGAACAATATTTTAAAACCAATAAGAACATGCAATATTATTTCCAACCAAACGTGAAATTAAAAAAACATGCGCAGACAAATAGATTTTCATAAAAATGCAAGAATCTACTCTTTTTTTAATTTATTATTTTTTGTTCTTTAAATTTTGACAATCCAACGAAATCATTTTTTAATGTAATTTTTAAAAATTAAATTATTACGACGTTGAATCGTCAAGACGTCGCCAGGCAAATCAGAACGATCAGACATAATCACCAGGATGCAATGCTACGAAAATAGTTTTTTATCAGTCAGTCAGTCAATCAATCAATCAAACCAATCAGTTTATAAAGCGCTTTTTTCGCGATGTTCAACAGCGCTCCTCTATGAATTTCGGAAACAGATGGGTCTTGAGATCCGCTCTGAACTTCGTAAGTGGTGGAGAAGTCGTCAGAGAAAGAGGTAGAGAGTTTCATAGAAAAGGGCCAAAAAAAGCAAAAGCAGATTTAGCAAAATAGTGTTTAACACGAGTTAACAATTAAAATTTGAAAAAAAATTTTATTTAATAATTTATTTTGGAAATAAAACACTAATATCAATCTAAAAATTATTGTTTAATTATTTAAATAACATATAATAACGAATAAACGGTTTTAATGAAATATAAACAAAACTAATTTTCGAGGTAAAGTTGTTAAGATAGTATCGGATGAATTTTCTGCACTGTTTTATTTAGCCCTGAAAAATTTATGAATATTTCAATTTGGTAGTTATTCATATCACAATTACTTCTATACTGCGATTTTTACTACTACTGATATTATTACTACAGATGCTGCTACTACTGCTACTATGACTACTAATATAAATACTACTATTACTCTTGCTACTTCCGTTACTACTAATTATTACCGCTACTGCTGCTGCAAACACAACAACAACAGCAACAACAACAACTACTACTACTACTACTACTACTACTACTCTACTACTACTACTACTACTAATACTACTACTACTACTACTTCTACTACTACTACAGCTGGAGGATTATGAGCAGCATTTTCTTTAAGGGTCGTAACGATAAAACTTTTTCGGATATGAGTGAACTATAACCTGATCTATTTATGTGCTATTTTAATGAAAAGCTGAAAAATAATGTAAACAATGGTGCTCAACCAAGCTTATTGAAATTTCAGTCAGGCGTCAACAATTTGTTTTCAAAGTTTTCTATGGTTTTTGAAGAGGAAGTAGTACAGTTAGTACAAAATTCACATACAGAGTCGAGTCAACATGATGTTATGCCTACCTACGTGTTAAAAAAGTTTATAAAATTATTTGCACCATTTTTGGCAAGCCTGTTTGAATGAAGGCCAATTTTCTTCTGACTGCAAGCTTGCTCTCATAATTCCTCTGCTAAAGAAACATAATCTAGATGAAAATGATGTTGGGAATTACAGACCAATTTCAAATCTGTCTTTCCTATCCAAAATTATCAAATTTGTGGTTGTCAGGCAAACACTCAGTTACTTGAAAAACAACAATGTAATGCTGAAATTTCAGTCTGGATTCAGACAGTACCATTCTACTGAGCAGCCTTTTGCAAGTTCATTCAGAAGTGTACAAAGCTATTGATGAACAAAATGTGGCAATGCTAGTCTTTTTTCGATATGTCGTCAGCGTTTGATTGCGTAGATCACAATGTACTTTTAAGAAGACTAGATTGCAGTTTTGGAATTTTTGGTGCTGTTCTACAGTGGTTTGGGTCGTATCTGGTAAGTAGATTACAACATGTTACATTTGGTGGTAAATTGTCTGAGGTTAATGTTATGTTGTCTGGTGTGCTACAAGGTTCAGTTCTAGGCCCTATCCGATTTTTGATTTATACACCTGAGGTACTAAATGTATAATAGAATCATATGGATTTTCATGTCATGCTTTTGAGGACGATCCCTGACTACTACCATACCACCACTACTACTAGTGTTAAAACCACTAATGCTACCACAGTTACTATTACTTCTTTCACTACTATTACTACTACTACAACTATTTTCATAATAATAGCAAAATAATCAAAAAATAGTAAGTCCAAAAAATGAGATAGTAGAAACCTATTTCACGCATATCCGACAGCGTTGGCGACTGTGTTAACCGTCTTGAAATTAATTAATTAATTAATTTATTTATTTAATAAATTATGATTCAACCGTGATTGAATTATAATTAAAGTTCAGAATTGGTGTGATTATTATTCTTTTCATTAGTTAGTTGATGTATAAAATTCATATTATGTGATGATTACGTCGAGACATTTGAATAAATTCTAATAATTTATTTCACGTGTGTGTGTGTATGTGTATGTGTGTGTGTGTGTATGTGTGTGTGTGTGAGTGTGCGTGTGGCGTTTTTGTGATTGTATGTTTGCGTAAGTGTGAGTTTAAGTTTGTGTATGTGTACATGTGTTTAGGTTTATAGAGGTTTGTCTGCGTGTGCTGTAAATATAAATCCCTAAGACAGACATAAATTTTCATTTTATTTACAGCCGTCGCTGCATTTTTCACTGCATCTGCAGTTTCCGCGACTGATGTAACAACCGTGTTCATTGTGTTGAAGATACTGTAACTATTAACTTGCACCACTGAGATTAAAACGACTACAAAAGCCAGAAAAAATAATTTCCTTCCAATAAACATTTTTGGTGTCCTAGGATCAATTTAAATAAAATAATATTTAAAATAGTTTATATAATAAACTTGATCAATGTTTAACGTTATAAGTTTAAAAGAGAATACTTAATTTGAGGTGTTGGATTCATGTTAAGAGAGTTTTCTTTTATACAGTTTTGGGTGTTATAAATCATTTCATTAGTAGAAACGTCTTTTTTTTATAGGTTTCATTAGTATTGTTATTTCGATTCGTTAAACCTTGGCCCCAAAACAGTTCAAAGTTTATTCGATTTTTTTCATACTTGCTAAGAAAATTCTTGTTTGCTATTTGAACACTTATTGCAGTTAAGAACTTGTGTTTTGTGATTCAACGAATGAGTTCAAAGGTCAAATAATTTTTTAGACTTTTCTCTTAAATGCTACGAATAACTGTTTAAAAATAAGTTTATGATTTCAATAGCAAACAATAATTATTGTTTGCTATTGAAATCATAAACTTATTTTTTTTTCGTTGTCGTTAAACTTACTTTCTAATTATAATTAAATAACCAATGAGAAGTTGAAAATACGCGTCAAAGTTCAAATTTGACGTTTCAATGTTTCTCATATAACTAAAATATTAACATTATAATGTTTGCTTGCACATTTTTCTGCAAACCTGCTCGATTACGTAGGGTAGCGTGGGGCAAAACGCCACGTGGGGCAAAAAGCACTTTTTCAAATTTCTCCGAATTAATTCAAGTCCGAAAATTTTTAAATTAATTTTTGAAAAATAGAACGCACCCACATTATTTATAATAAAAAACCGCGTGGTATTGAGCTTTGGTTATTTTATTAAAAAAGTTTCAAGAATTTGTAGGTCAAATATCGCTCGTGTTATAATTTTTGTTTTTCGATTTCTTTTAAAATTTGTTAAAATAACATAATTTTTTGTGATTAGGAGTAGTTTGTTGTGAGGAGAAATCATTTTTACATATAGAAAATCAACTTCAAATTGGTTAGAACAATTTTTTGTTAATTAAAATTTAATTTATTCTTCGCGCTCTCTTTTGGGGCAAAACGCCTCTTTTACTTTGGGGCAAGAAGGCTAACTTTAATTGTTTTAACTATTTGTCAAGTTTTAGATATTTTCACTTAAGGCAGCCAATAATTGTAATTAAAATTATATTTTTAAAATTTTTTCAAACTTTTGTTTTTGTATAAGTTTTTAAAATTAAATTAAAATTATTTTAATTTTTGAAGATTGAAAATGGTAAGAAATTACATAAGAAAATCCACCAGATGTTCGTCTTATAATGATGAATCATTGAAAATTGCTGTTGAATCAGTAACGAATGGCATGCCACTAAAAACGGCTGTCAAAAAATATGGGGTCCCTGCAAGAACTTTAAAAAGGCATCAGATGGCCATGACCAAATTTCCTGGAAAAATTAGGCTGGGACATTTTCACTCAATTTTTACAAAGGACCAAGAACTAGAACTAGTAGAAATTATTAAAAGTATGGAAAAATCACTCTTCGGAATGACCACAACAGACGTCAGGAAAGTGGCTTTTGAATTTGCCGAAAAAATGAAATTAAGCCATCCATTCAAGGTTGACATGAAAATGGCAGGGATAGACTGGATGTATGGTTTTTTAAAAAGACATCCAACGCTATCTATTAGAAAGCCGGAAGCGATAAATTTATCACGGTTAGTTGGCTTAAATAAACGTCCTCACCAAACAAAAAATTGCTACAAGAAAAAGATGATCAAAATTGTAGAAAGATAAAGCGTTCTAAAGATTTATTAGATATAAAAAGTAAAACGGTGAAACGAACCAAAGATACAACTCCATGTGGGACTTGCACACAAATTTTTTGTAAAGATGTAACTGGGCGTCAGTGGATCAAATGCCAAAAATGTGGCATTTGGCATCATAATGGTTGCCAAGGACTAGAAGAGGATTATAATGACATTTTTATTTGTATTGAGTGTGATGATTAAAATTACAAACAAAACATTAAAATTTTAATAAATTTTATTTTGTCATTTCATTAAAAATAATAAAGCATTTTTTTTCATGCATTTTGTTTCTATTAAAGCTATAACCATTGTAATCACAGCTTGTTTTGTTAATTTCTTAATTTGGGCCTTTTGCCCCAGGTATGGGGCAAGAAGCTCTTTTGATAGACCTCTATAGTTTTCCTCATAAAACACAGAAAGTGTATTTTTGAATAATTTAAATTGTAGAATTAGGTAGTGGACATACCAGTCTAGCTAAGGCAACATTAAACTTTAAAAAATGTTCGAGTTGTTGGGTGTGGTCAACCGCCAAACGTTAGAGGTGGCTTTTTGCCCCATGCTACCCTACGTTTTTAGTGCTGCGTCTGAGAATTATTAACCGAAAATTAGAAGAAAATGCACATTTTTATTTATTCATGCTGCTCAAGGAACAAAAGTTACATCCTAAAAAAAGTTATACTACCAATAGAAATTTTTAGGCTATGAGCTAAGAGGGCGAACTTAAAATGAATCATTAAAAAGATGACTGATAGATTAGAGTTTCGTTGTTGCGTTATTGTTAATCTATCACAAGTTTTATACGAAATAAAATTAATATCCTGCCAACCAGACAATCAACAAGATCGGTTTTTGAAATCTGCTCTGAACTCTGTATTTCTTCCTACATCCATCTTTTTATAAGCATTAAAATGATACTTCTCGATTTGTATCGTAGATTTGTAATGAATGTTTTTAGAACAGGCTCTAACTCTTTTAATTAATTTTGTTAGTACATTTTCAAAAACTTTCATCCTGATTTGATAACTTTGTTTGACATTTCTGTTTGATATTATTGTTTAAAACAAAAGTTCTTACAAGTTTAAGTTTCAAAGTTAATAAAATGAATGCGAAACCAAGTTTACAAAAAATTTGAAATTAATTTATGTTAATAGAGTATTTTGATATTTGTTGAGTTTCAGAGTTGATGGAATCACATCCACCAATGTGAGTTATTTAAAATTAAAAAAATTGTTTCCATATTTTAGCTTGCATTTTTAAAATAACCTATGGAATTTTAAATAGTTCATTAGCAATGAAACCAACATTACATTCGTTTTTTAGGCCATATTCTTATTAATCTTCTCCTTGTATGATGAGACGATCCTTATTTCTACTTATTTTTCTCTCATTAACTCCCTCTTTCTTTCTCTCTCTTTTTTCTCTCTTTCTCACTCTCTCACTTTCACACTTAATATAACTCACGCAAGTACAGTAAATAATTTCCTAGTTTAGTTGGACTTCTATTCCAGAGAAAAAAATTAAAGAAAAAATTTATCTCAACATGTGAAATTCAAATTTGAGAATAAAATTTCACTGAATAAACAACATAGGCCAGTATTTGCTCGGCAATTAAACAAAACCAACTCAGGTGTGCTATACAAACGAGAGTCTCAAGAAGTAAAATGAATTTTTCATTATTTACTCAGCATATTTTGTGGAAATAAAAATTTATGTTTTAGGAACGCATTTGCAATGAATTTAACTGCTTTTGTGTTTGAAAATTTTCTACAATATTGAAATAATTCGAAGATTTAGAATTTATTGTTGCTTAAAATTTAACAATGGTGCGAAAATCTTTGTTTCTAATCATTTTGATTACAATTTACTCTGAGAACATTGGTGAGTTATAACAATGTTATCATCCACTCAAAATTTTTTATTCTAATATAATGGTTCACCATCTTAATGTTTTCACACAAAAACTTTTGTTAGGACAATTCACAAGTTCACAGTTATTAATGAATTGGTAAGGGTGCATAGGCTTTTAACTAGAGAGATATAAGATTATAAATATTGAGTATACGATTTTACGATTAGCTTGACGTACAACTTATTGAAAATTTATAAGAGTAACGAAACTCATATCGATGAAACAGAGTGTCTAAAACTTCCAAAAAATCTTGCGTTGGGTGCCTACACGTACAACAGCTCAGCACATGTCATCAACTCTACAATGATGTTGACGTCATTTTTTGCCGTCGATGGTAAGAACGGCGTTGACGATAACTTCCCACATTGCTCTACGACGGAGCCCGGGTTCGAACCTCATTGGATCGGAGTGGACTTGGGAAATAAGTTTTTAGTAAAATCCGTTGTCCTTTATGCAGGATTAAGTAAGAACATTTAAAAAAAATTTAAATGAAAATGATGCGAAACAAAAATTTTTTCACAAATAGCTAATGCTGGTTTGGACAAACCGAACAACCTGAACAATTTCATAGTAGGAGTAAGCAACAGGTCCCTGGATATTTACCCGCCAGTGAGGGGCCAGTACGCTCTCTGTGGCCAATATGCACATAAGGTTTTTTCAAAAGAAGTGGTTCTAATGAATTGTTCGTCTTCAACACCTCCAGCTAGATACGTCATACTGCAACAATATTCCAGCCCAAATGGAGAAGTCATATCTGTCTGTGAGTTGGAAATCTACGGAGTTCCCTTTGGAGGTATCATTATTTTGTTGTCGATTCTGAATGTAAATGTTTGGTTAAGACGTTTGACATTGCTGTTTTAGTGGCAGGGTTTGAACGCAAATAGGTTCTTGTCCGTCGCATGCACTCCATGCATTGCATTGATCCAATTATTACGTACATTGCATGTTTGCAATAGATCCCTCTGAGAATTGTAAAAAAATGTTTAAGCTGTTTGTTAAATTTATTTACATTAAAAATGAAAATTTTCGTGCATAGTGCAAAAGAAAAACATTTTGAAGCACAAGCCAGCAACATCAAGCTCCGTTTTCACTGAAAGAGGTATATCAACTCAATGTGGTTCGTTCGAGGCAAGTTTAATCGTGGATGGATTTCACGACAATCAGATGTATGACTGCCACTGCGGACATGTTTCTGGCACAGTGGGAGAGCCGAACTGGTTCATGGTCAACATGCAAGATATGCATTACGTGGATTTTATCTTATTTACCTCTCGCAATAGTTTTCCGAGTTAGAATTGCGTGTTTTGAAATCTGCTCAAATATATAAACTAAGTCATGACTACCTATTTAACACCCAGTACGTCACAGAGACGACAATTTCTACATCGGTTTTTCCAACTTACTGAACTACCAACCAGTAAGAAATCAGTACCCTCTCTGTGGCCAGTGGTCTGGTGAGGTTCCGACTGGATCCAAGGTGCTCATGAAGTGCAATGCTAATCTGCCCTCGTTCAGCTTTTTGATTGCTCAGCAGGCTGTTGACGCTCATGATGGAATGTTCACAATTTGCGAACTCGAGGCGTATTCGCCTCTTTCTAGAGGTTTTATTATAACTTTAAATTTTCAAATAGCTGCTGAAATAAAATAGAAATTTGAGATAAGGTTTTTATGAACATATTGTAGTTTTTTTCGCAAACCAAATTATTCTTTGCTGTCGCTTTTAACAGATTCATTCGTTTGGAAGAAAAAAGCTAATATCCTTTTAACTGGCTTCAAAGTAAAGTCGTTAAAAGTGAGAGATGTGATTGAATGTTTCCTTTGCTGTCGTCAATTTGGTGGATGTGATTCTATCAACTTCCAGGCAGCTTCAAAACTGTGCGAACTCAACAAACATCCGAATGGATACAGCAGATCTCTGAATTCAAATGCTAACTGGGCATTCTATGTTGTCCACTACTATTGAATCCAACCATTACATACTTAATAAAATAAATTACTGACTAAAAAATTAATGAATAAACTTATTAAAAAACTGAATATAAATTTAATTATTAGTTTTCAGTTATCTTATGTAAATTTGGTTACTAAACCTACAAATAAAAAATAAACTAAATTTTAGTGTCGTATTTGGTGAAAATGGGCAAAAATTATTTAAAACTTCATTGTGCTTTTTCACTTTTCCCTCTTTTCTCTTTGTCTACACACACACATACACACCTACACGCATATATTTTTCACAATCTTATCCAAAATCAATTCAAAGGATTGATGGCTAGCATACTTATTAGCACTTTGCAGCTGGGTCGGATGTATGAAGATGCTTTGGAGAAACGAGCGAGAAATCAATTGACACCTATTGACGTACAAGAAATATAAATTTTATTAAACTAATTTATTTTACAAAAAAAACAGGACAAACTGACAATGATTGTTTTTCAAGCGTTGTTATTGTACCAAAACGCTATTAAACTATTTCAGGGAGATATGCAAGTTAGTCCACAAGTTAAATATTTTTATTTTTATTTTTAAAGTAAATAAATAAATAAACATCGAAGCAAATATTTAAAAGCATATATACAAAAAGTTTACATACGCACACCGATATCTGAAAGCACATAAATATAATAATAAACACACATACACGCAAATCATACCACACATACATACCATCAAACACCCACATACCAAACAAATGTACAATCGATCATAAAATTCAATGCCAGATATCGTCTAGTTGATTTATTATCAAAAACGTTGAATTTTAAGAAATATTAATAAATACTTGATCGTTAACAAGCATACTTGTGATCGAACGCCTTTTACTCATTGCTATCATCTTCATAATCATAAATACATCTTCATCTCGGTAGGTGTTCGTAGGTGTATTGATAGAATAACAATTAACCTACTTAATTTGCATAGCCGATTTTTCCTATATAAATACAGCCTCTATCTATGGGTTAATATTAAAACAAAAATTTTAGCCTAACCTACATTGGTTGAAATTATCATCTCGAATTCAACTGTTCAGCAATGAGGAAAGACAGATGTGTTGTAGTTTGTGTTGATGTTGGGAGTTCTCATCTCTGTCTACCTAACCGACCGCAGGCTATGGTTCGATTCTTGTGTTCATTTCAATATATTTATTGTTGAGGTGTTTGAATGGAAAAAATATTAATGGTATTTCTACTTAATTGTATACGAATCATTAAATATTATTAACCATGCATCAAAAACACTTGAGACGATTGAATGCTAACAAATTATTTAATGTTTATCACAAATCATCCAATGAAGTATAAAATGTAACGTAAAACACATCTTATTTTGTTTCAATTAGAAATTATTAATAGAATTTTATTTAAAACGAACGTCCAGACATGAAATAAGATGTAGGTAACATTGAGGCTGTTATGACTTGCATGGAGGAAACGATTAAAATACTTTTGAAAAATGTTTCAGGAAAATAAAGTTTTAAAATTTCAAATGAAGGTTGTTCTGAGCCAATGTGCATGCCTTGTCCGCCGGGGAAGTTCGCTGCTGTCAGTGCTACGATCCTTGCAAGGTTGTATCAATGAATGAAATGAATGGACGAACGAACGAACGAAAAAACAAGCAAACGAACGAATGAATAAATGAATGAACGACTGAACGAACAAACGAACGAATGAATAAATGAATGAACGACTGAACGAACGAACAATCAAATAAACAAACACAGATGATTAAATAAATAAATAATTACATATTTGATTTTTTTTAAATTTCACAATTGATTATTTATGACGTTTAAAACACAGAAAATTATTCCAAGACCATTAGCGGTGTTTCAAAAATGATTTTTCTGCTAACGTGATTCAATAATATTCTATAATGACAACAGAATGTAAAGTGTCCAAAAGGAACGCGTTGTAGGCCAAAGGTCAGCAGCAACACACCTAATGGGAATTCTCTGTACGTTGGAATCTGCAAACCTAGGAGGATGATCTTTCGACAATAAATTTTTACTGACACTTCGTGTGATGCACGTTTAATGAAATTAATTTTATGAAGATTAATCTTCCGAAGTTTAGTAAAAAAATTCAATTAATTAAAATTTTTTGAAAAAAAACTGTGCCACTTTATCTATTTATTAAAGAAAAAATAAAACGATGGTTTAAGGCAGGGGTGGGCAAACTACGGCCCGCGGACCGTATGCGGCCCGCGAAGCTATTTTATGCGGCCTGTGAGGCCTTGTTCGCCAAAAAAGATTGTCAGCTAAACATTATGACCAAAAAAGGAGCCACAGATTTAAAAAAAATCTCTCCCGTGTCGAAAAATTTGCTAATAAAGTACATATGCGGCGTGATGGCTCAATGGTTGAAGGCGTCTGGTCTTGCTATTGCTATGACTGTGTTTGAATACAAAGAGATCCCCGCCTATCATATGCAATGTGTATGATGCGTGGTTTGCACGCGTATTCATATACGCTGTGTGTGTTTGTCGTTAAAACCTCTGAAACAAATGCAAAAGAGAGAGAGAAACCTTTAACCTTTAACCTTCAAAGGTAAATAAGTTCTCAATGCGGCCCTCACAGCAAACAATTTGCCCACCCCTGGTTTAAGGTGATACGCAGTGGCGGATTTACGCACTGGCAAATTTTGAGAGGTGTCAAATTTTAAACTTGATTCCTGAGCTGATGACAAATCGGCCATACCTTGACGTTGCTTCTTGGCAATCTTTTATTATGGTGCCAAACAATTCTTATATCAGAATGTAGCGCCAAATAATCAGAATTTTGATTTTAGATTAATTATTTTTGAAGAATGGTTGGCTTTTAATTTTTGGATTTTAAATCAAAATTTTTTAAAGTTTAGCATTATTAACATCGTTTTTACTACTACTAATACAATTTATGTTATTATTATTATTGTTGATGTTGTTGTTGCAACCGTTGTTGTTATAATAATAGTTATTATTATTATTATTATAATTATTATTGTTATTTTATATATACCTATACCTATGCTAATTTCAAATCGCTTGACTTAATACTAAACTTTCACAAATATTCATACAATCGATGTTGCATTCATATTCAACAGTGCGTTCACTCATTTGCTTTTTCTTTCGTTCGTTTGTTCGTTCGTTCGTTTTTTCGTTCGTTCGTTCGCTCGTTCATGCAGTTGTTTGCAAATTCATTCAGTTTAGTAGTAGAAGAGGAACAGCAATAGAAATAGAATGAGATGTGAAACAAAAGAAAGAGAGAGGGAGAGAGAGAGAGAGACAGAGGGAAAATAGAAATTGGGAACAAGAATGATAAAAAAAAGAGAGAAAACGAAGCAGAGAGAGAGGGGGAGAGAGAGAGAAATAAAAAAGAGAAAAAGAAAAGAATCAAAAAACGAGGAGGAAGAACAGAAAGAAAGAGAGAAAGAAGACAATAAATGCTGTATATAAATTAGCCTATATAAACTTTAATTTTGATTCAACAACGCCAACAATGCCGACTACGCTCTGCTTTTGAACTCGTTCCAAGAAAAATGTATTCTTATCCTGCTGTTAAAATGTCGTTTTGGACAATGTTGTGGATCTTGCTGATTGCTGCTTTGGGTGCTGGAGCTGAAGGTTATGATTGCCTACATTTTTGGTATCATTTTTTGCATTATACCAGTTAGATTTTGTAAGTTTTTTGTGTAATTATTAGATGGTGCGGTGGTCTTAAGGTCGCCTGTTGCCATTTCGCACTGACCTAGTTCGAATATTAAAAAAGGATCACATACATCGTGTGTGATGCGTCTTTTGGCAAGTATTCTTATGCGAAGTTTGTGTGCTATTGATTTTTCTGGACCTAGACAGACCTTTAACTTTATTTCGATGAAAGATCATGTCATTCTGAACAACTACATCGTCGTTAATAATGTTAACCTTCCACCTTAATCTTAACAAGTTGCGTTACGTGAGGTTTTTTTACTAGAATTAGCATTATCTTTATTTGTTGGCTTGTGATTTTGAGATTTTATAATTAGTGAATATGAACCATCATCATCAACATCATCGTTGATATCAATATCATCTTCATCATATACATCACCACCATCACTATTACTTTCAACATCATTATCATCATTATTGCAATCATTCCATCTATATGTTGCAATCCATTCACACTCACCTGAGCACATCAAATCATTGAATGAATGATTGAAGGATTGACAGAACGAATGCTTTGTTCATCATCAAAAACCACACTACTATCATCATCATCATCATCCATCATCATCATCCATCATCATCATCCATCATCATCATCAACAACAACATCATCATCATCAATAGCAACATTGGTATCATCATCATCATTATGAAAAGAATAAAACATCAACAACAACTACTACTACTATTACTACTACTGCTGCTGCTACTACTACTACCACTACCACTACTTTTGCTGCTGCGGCTACTACTACTTGTAGTAGTAGTAGTAATAATAATAATAACAATAATAATCATTACGATGATAAATTTATTCCAAAGGTTTTTCAAAACTTGAAATTCAAATCTCGATACGCTTGAAGTTTTTTGCTTGATTACTACAGAAAGCCGGGGTATTTATGCTAATATTATTTCAATGTTATTACTACTACTACTACTACTACTACTACTACTACTACTACTACTACTACTATTACTTCTACTCCTACTACTGCTGCTAGTGATACTATTACTATTATTACTACTGCTACTACTACATTTACTACTATTACCAGTAGGTAGTAGTAGTTGTAGTAGCTGTAGTAGTAGTAGCAGTAGTAGTAGTAGAAGTAGTTGTTGTTGTTGTAGTAGCAGCAGCAACAGCAGTAGTAGTAGCAGCAGCAGTAGTAGTAGTAGTAGCATTAGTAGTAGAAGTAGTTGTAATAGTATTAATATTATTTTTATTATTAATATCATTATTTAGTCGTAGAGTGCGTGACTAAAGAGTGTGCAACAAAACCAAGCTGTCCTAAAAGTGGATTCCTCAAAGATCTCAACAATTGCGACACGTGCCTCTGCACGAACCCTTGCCTTGAGGTACCATCTTTTGATTTGAAAGTTTCAACATCACACTAATTTGAATGACTGATTTCGGTCTGATGCAAATTGCAAACATCGAACTAAATAGAATGACTGTTATGTCAATCATACTTCGTCGTCACGGTAGCCATCCTCATAATCGTCATTATCACCAAATCCTTGCCGTGTTATCATCATCAGCACAATCACCATCATCTTCTTCATTATCATATTATTAACCTAAAACCACTTATTCATCACCATCGTCATCATCATCATCGTCATCATCATCGTCATCATCATCATCACCATCGTCTTCATCATCACCGTCATCACTATTTAATAACAAAATTAAAAAATTTAACCAACAGAAATGCGGGACTGAGACATGTAAAATTTTGGCAGTTCAACCTGGAGTTGAACCTAGGTACGGCTGCGCTGACAAGGAAAGGGAATCTGATGGAGGTAAGAATGATGACGAAGATGAGAACTATGAAGATGAGTAAGAAGAGGATAGAGAAGGCAGAGGAAAAAAAATGATGAAGATGAAAATATAGACATATTTTACAGACAATGATGGCTCTGACTATAAGTTTGAAAAATAAAATTAGACAATTCAAATTCGAAATATAATTTACTATAATTTTCGTGAAAAGTAAGAATTACGATTGTAATTATAAAACTTCAAATTGAAGGTCTTTTAAAGGCAACAATACAATATTGCTGATGATGATAAAGATCATTTTAAAAATAATAATAATAACAATAACAATGACATTGATAGAAATCAGCTAAGATAATAATTTTTTTTATTCGTTTTTTTATTTATATGTTATTTAAATGTTAATCAAGGTAGTTTGTGATATCAATGTAATTAAGTAATAAAAATGTTGAAAGAGTGTGTTTCATGTTTAATTCATCTATTCTGCAGTTTGCTTGGACACCATGCAAACAAATTGAAAAACAAAACCGTCTTAACCAAATTTAAAAGATAGCAGAAACACACTCACACAAACACACATACACACACACACAAACACAAACACACATACACACACATACAGATATAGATAATCCAATGCCGGATTCCGACAACTCGGACGGGGGAGGACAAAACTTGACGAGGAAATTTTTCAAATACAATCACGCGCACACACACATACACACACAAACAAACACACATAAACATACACAACACATCAAAAGTCGGATTCAGACAACTCTGACGGGGCGAGGAGCCAAAACATGACGGAAATTTTAAATTATAACAACCCAGTAACATCTTTAACACACGTAGCCCTCACATAATAAGTACCAGCGATACGAATCAACCAAACGAAAAAACCACACTTCGGACGAAATACAAGCCTAGAATTATTTTAAAATTATAACTATAATTATAAAATATTACATTAATATAATTATAAAGAGGGAGAATTATTTGAAAATTATATCTATAATTATAAAATATTATATTAATTATAAAGAGGGAGAATTATTTGAAAATTATAACTATAATTATAAAATATTATATTAATATAATAATAAAGAGGGAAAATTATTTGAAAATTATATCTATAATTATAAAATATTACATTAATAAAATAATAAAGAGGGAGAATTATTTGAAAATTATAACCATAATTATAAAATATTATATTAATTATAAAGAGGGAGAATTATTTGAAAATTATAACTATAATTATAAAATATTATATTAATATAATAATAAAGAGGGAAAATTATTTGAAAATTATATCTATAATTATAAAATATTACATTAATAAAATAATAAAGAGGGAGAATTATTTGAAAATTATAACCATAATTATAAAATATTATATTAATTATAAAGAGGGAGAATTATTTGAAAATTATAACTATAATTATAAAATATTATATTAATATAATTATGAAGAGGGAAAGCGCGAACGCAGTCCCTCGCTACCACAAAATGTACACCCGAGTTACCCACATTTGGGGTAATCGCAGAAGTCAATCCAGCCTCAGTGCAATGGCTGGACCTCGTCCTGGAAGCACCGCCTTCTTGATCACGGTATCTTCTGTGTCAGGTTAGTATGATTGCAAGACGTTTCAATGCATTTAAGAATAGCTGTCGAAAGTTAACCAATGGTGTTTCGATTGAGGTTTTAGTTTCAGTTTCAATTGCTGATATTTTTTTAATTTTCTATGTGTATTAATTATTTTTATTTTTTAAAATAATAATATTTTCAAATTAACATGCGTTTAGGTTAAAGTTAATAATTTTTTAACAGATTAAACTCTGACGAACAAACTTTTATTATGCTAGCACTCTAGCGATCAAAATATTTATTTGCTCACCGACGCATCACGTCTGACATGCCTGTCTAAATGAGTATAAAACAGGTTAAGACATGCTCGCATTCACTCATTCACTCACTCACTCACTCACTCACACACACACACACACACACACACACACGCACACACACACAACTTATTTCAAAAGAAGTTGTTTATTAGTCTATAATATTATCAACAACAAGAATCCTTGAACAAGTTAATAAAATTGATTTTTGTAGAAAAAGTTTATATTTGTAATATAATGGATTTTTTTAAAATTCTCAATTTATTGTTAGTTTGTGTTTGGATTCGGTTTTGATTGATTTCATTCATGATAATATAAGTGGTTAATTGGTTATATTATATTACAACTCATTGAAATTATTTGATGGCCACAAACTAATTCCACTGATGAAATTAAACAGGTTGGGAATGTAACTCCGGCAAGAAATTTTATTGCCATATTTTTATTTAATTCTCAGTCAATTTTCAGATTATTTGTATTTCTTTATTATCAACAAATTAAACAAAACGTCACGAAAAATTTAATTTTAACCAAAATTTTTTTAAGATGAGTGTAAAATCAGTTGTGATAGATCATAGATTTCATGAATATAAAGTATGGTTCCAAAGCAGCAAATCTGGGGTTCGTGTTTGATTCTAATATGACTATGAATGGTCATATAAAGTCTCTGACAAGTGCTTGCACTGGACAGTTGCAAAAATTGAAGACCATCAAAAAATCACTAGATAAAAAACATTCGGAGTCTTTGGTATATGTTTTCATTCATTCGCCGGTAGATTACTGCAACAATATTTTTTATTGTCTGTCTAGTAAATCAATAGAAATGTTGCAGACAATTCGGAATCAAGCAGCAAAATTAGTTCTTGGTGCTGCAAAGTTTGATCATGTTACTCCTCTGCTCAAAGAGTTACACTGGTTGACAATAGAAAAGAGAGTAATGTTCAAAATATTCGTCCTCATGTTTAAATGTTTAACGAACTGTGTATCTTCAAACCTGATCAGCAAATGTTCACCAAAAATTAGCATGATCAAACAACTCAAATCTTTTGAAGGTACCAACTATCAGACTAATTTTTCTGTTTGTGGTCCTTCTGTGTGGCCATCTTATTTAAGAAATCTTGATTTCAGTTTACTTTCGTTTAAAAGATTACTGAAGTCTTATCATTTCACATTATAGAAAATTATTTTTTTTCTTTGGTTTTGTTATGTTTTTGTGACTTTTATGCAATATTTATATCATTTCGGTTTCGATAAATAATGTGGTTGTTTAATGTTGCTTATTTATTTATTTATTTTGGTGAATGTTTATAATTGTTTCTATTATTTGTTGAATGATAGTTAGTAGAAATACATTTATGTATTTCTACTAACTGTAAATACACACAAAACCACGCATCACACACATTATATGTTATTGGCGGGTTTTTTTGCAGAACATGAATGCGTTTCCATTATTCAAAATTGTGAGCCATCAAGACAGTGTCAAGAAGGTACTACAAAAGCCTTTTAAATGCTTGGGACATATAAAAAATAGTGTCGAGCAAGAAAAAAGTTGATAAAACAAGGTTAGAAAAACTTAGAAAAACCAGAAAACCACCATTGGACTACTTACAGTTTTGATGTTCTTGAAAAGGGCAAAACGATTTTCATGAAGTCCAAAAAAAGAGTTACAAGGTAGATTACAAGTCAACGACACCTGCAATACCAAAATAGTCTTAATAAATGTAAAACCTGAAAATAGTTTTGGAAGAACAAGAAAAGGTTTGATACAAACTTACAAACTTCTTAAGGACAAAAAAGAATTATCGGCTACAAGATTTTTTAAATTGCCTCATAACAAATATACAACAGGAACTTTTCAATGAAAGAACTGAGCCATTGAAATTTAACATCCTCAGTAACAAAGTTGTCAATCACTGAAACAGCTTAAATAAAGATGCAGTGTCAGCAGAATCAACAAAAATTTGTATAATCAAATTGGCAAAATCAGGATTTTAACCGGAGTGTCTCTAAACAGATAATTGGTCTTTCAGGCATTATAATTTGTGTTGTGTTATGCTGTTTTGTGTTATGTTAATTTATTATCAACAACTCGGATAATTCTATCAATATTTATTTTCAAAAAATGTTAATTGTTCAATTCATTTAATGTCTAGAATAAACAAAACGTTTATTCCAACAAAAAATCAGAATTCAGAGATAGCATTAGCAAGCACAATCATTTATCGGAACACTGGTACCCTTGCTCATGGCCAGGAATCCAGTATAAATCACATTGTTGGTTCTTTCTGCAAAACTGTGGATTGTGATGATAATAATTAGGATCGCTATGATGATGATAATGACAATGACGATGACGACTCTGATGATGATCATGGTGGTGGTTATGGTTATGTAACGAGCGTAGTAAACAAAGACAACCAACCAGCCTAATCGGTATTTCACAAAAAGACATTAAAATACATTTCTAAATTAGTTCGATATGACAAAGATCCTTTCTTACTTCTTTGCACGGATCTTCACATAGACAGGTACTACATCCGTTGGGATCCTTTGCGTACCCAGTTTTGGGACAATTTGTCTCACATGTTCTCTCTTTGCACTTTGTAACTAAATAATCAAAATGGTTTTTGAAGTTTATTTAAATTTCAAAAAGTATTATTTAGAACAGTGACAGTTTAACACAGTAACCAAACCATTTTAAAATGAATAACAAACCTAACCTAGCGCTTAATCAATCGTTTTAGTAACCTAAAGATACAAAAAATGGACTTTTCCGAATTGATATAATCATATCGCATTAATTTATTAAACGTAATTTTTAAAGTTATTAACAATAAGTTATTTTAATATGTGGATGTTTTTTTTTAAATTTCACTAAATAAAATGAAATAATTGTTATAAAATTATAAAATCATTTTCAAAGCTTGGTTGCAAATTTAGAATGATTATCATCAAACATATTTCCAAACTTTCCAAACATTCTTTCCAAACTAATAATGAAAATAAATAAAATAATTATACACACATCTGTTTTTACTTATTGATTAAATGATTTCTGATGAAAGGTAGAACGTTCATTTCAACTCGTTAGATTAATTCTCAGCTCTTATTTGGTCTAATTAAGTAATTAACCCTTTGGTCTAATTAAGTTCA